TCAGAACTTATTTTAACTTTTATAATTACTCTGAAGCTTTTTTAGTATATTTTCTCAATCGCTGAAAAAAAAATAAGTGAATTGGCTTCAAAAGAACTGTTATACACAAATTGTTCAGCCATTATGTTGGAATAATAATTTGTTGATGATTCCAAACTTTGAGCGAATAAACAGGAGCACTTTTCAGAGACAGTGTTGATCGCTCTCGATCTACGTCACCAGATCGTATTTCGTCAAATTTGGCTTTCAATGAGAACGAAATTGAAAGTCCAAAACTTGTGGAGGTTGAAATACATGGGTAAGCTTTAAAAAAAATTTTTTTTTGACGGATGAAATTATAAATTTTAAACAATGAATTGATTTTATCAAGAGAAACAACCGCAGAATTTAACATTTGCTAACGTTTTAAATCAACTTGATAAAACTATAGATGCAGCTATTTATAAAGTGTACATTTTTTGTTGCCTTTCAATTTGCGAAAAAAACAGCGACAGTTTTTTAGTCACTGTGGGTTCAAAAAATAAATTTGTGAAAAAAAAAAAAAAAAACAGTAGCGGTTTACAGCTACTTTTTTCAGTACGTTATGCAAATTCTTTGGATAAAATTTTTTTGATATTTTATACCAAAGAATTTCAAAAGCAATTTAATTATGCTTACTTTTAATTTTTACTACTCAAAATAGTTAGAAGCTCTTTAGCGATGAAGAATAAAGCAATAAATGATACTGCACAAATCAACAGCGCCTTACGCTTCTAATGGTTTAGCATAAACTGTTTTTTTTAGTACTATATATCAAACTTCTTTTTTCTAATTGATACTTTAAGGAAGGGTTACTTTTGAGTTATAAAAAAAGACTTGTATCTTAGCAGCAGCATCTGGACCATTCATCTGCGACTTGAAATTTTGCTTAGTAAGTCAACTCTCCTTTGCTGTAAAGCCTTCAATTTAAATGAAAGGCTTAGTTCATTTTCAGTTTTTTATAGGCTTAAAAAAGCGATGCTTTTCATATTCAGCAGCTAAATAATATATCACTTCTTTATCATAACAGTTGCAGCATTGACTGAATCAATCAATTCTTCTAAAGAAATTTTGATATTTACTTTTACAACTTCGTAAACACCTTTCAGCCTGCATTAGTAGAACAGCGATATTTTATTCGAGTACTGATTTTTGTTTTAATGGAATTTAACTAAAAAACTAATTTGGTATGAAAAATGCAGTAAAATTTTTTTTGGTCTCACAAAAGAAGCTGTTTTAGAGTGTTTTTAGGACGTTTTTTAGACTTACTAGAAAACTATATTTTATTATAGATTTTAAATTGAAATGTAGATGTAAACAGTAATTTTTAGGCAAACTAAAGCGGTTTTGTTTTTGCTTTTTGCTCGAAACTTTAGTCGTTTGCGATAGCTTCTTTTTTTTAAATAAGCACTATGTACTAGTTACTGTAGCTAAGTGATGAGAATTTGAATGTTGACATTTTTTTGTATGCGTCTGATATACAGTTTTTGAGAAATTCAAACACTTGCTAACAACTAAAGAACATTTTTTCTGATTGAATTAGTTGCTTCACTATAGGTTTTTAGCTTATCAAAACCATTGTGATTTAGTTGTTCAAATTTGTCAGTCCAGCTGTAAGTGGTTCATTTGATTAGCGGTAAGCAAAAGGGAAAGAACAATTTTTTTAAGCATCAACATTTGTCTGACAGAATAAACTAAAATTTGTGCTTTAAATTCATAAAAATGACTTTTGTGCATTCACTTTTAACGAATAAATAACTAAATGAGTAAATAAGTCAAATAGGCGCACTTATCTGTTCAAAGTAAATTTCTTCTGACACTTACGCATTTCAAGAAATTGAATGATTAATGTAATTATAAAGTATACCTGAATTGATAAAGTCACTAGAAGAATGAAATGACAATAGAGAAAATTTACGTTACATTCTGACGTAACCGTATTATTGTTCCGTTTTAAGAACCTTGGAAATAAAATGATTTCCGGAAGTTTGGTTCTATTAATCTAATTCTGCTTGGCACGTATGACACAAAAAAAAAATAACCGATTAAAACTGGAACAAAAATTTGAGTGCTGATCGTCTAAGTCACAGATCAGACTTACTACTGTTTTCAGCCACTCGTTCAAATTTTGAGACCATAATTACTAGGTCATTAGACAGATTTTCAGGAGTATTACTAGCATTTTTGATGACGTCTACTTAGCCGTATTTTCTAGTATATTCTCCTGTTTGGACCACTACTTTATTTTTTAAATTCTCCCACTTTCATTTTCTTAACCTCTCACTTTATCGTTTTCTGTCACAGTTTAGAACTTCAAGACAGTTTTTTCTTTATCATTTTAGTTGACAGTTTTAATAAAAGTCTGGTCCACCTACTGCTTGACGACAACTATCTTAAATTTTTTTATAACTTTCCGACAGAACGGCGGACCGTTTGCTAGAAGGAGAATTTAGCAAAATTTACTGCTCTTTTTTGTGATTACAAAGTATTAGCATTCTCTGAAGTGGTTCAAAATATGAGTACAACAGACAATATTTTCAATGTACACTGTGAAGAAGCACTGTGAGGAATCACTCGTTACGAGTAGATGTTTTTCAGTGAGGACGAGCCAACCGCAGAAGAGGCAAAATGTGAGCGAGATTATAAAGCCTTATGGAAATGGGCTTATGAAGAAGTTTGTCGTGTGCATTCTATTCGGGTTAGTCAAGTTTTTTCATACTTTTCCACCTTCTTACATTATTTACCGAATTTTGCGAGCATGAAAAACGTAACTATTGATGCTCGTTTCAAAATTGACTGGTTTATAATTTGTATGCTGCTGTGTCACATTCAGCATAAGGAAGAGTCGACACATTAAATTAAGTTATAACGAACTGAGTGCAGTAGTATATCGGAAAACTTCGAAGTGTCCTGGTAAACGCTGAAAGGAAGGCTAATTTACACGGCACAGTTCACAGTTCTCTGAAGGTTTTGTTCATGTAACTTGGACTCAGCAACAGTACTTTTTTTTTGTTGGAAAATGAAACAGCTGGTAATCGGAAAACATGAATCAGTTGGCTATAAATCTTTTAAAAGTCAATTCGCAGTGGCTTTTCTTTTTGCCAAACCAAGTTGAATACTGACTGTCAACATCTTCACAATCATCAATTGCACTGCTACTTTCCTGAGACCGCTTTTTTCACATTGGAACAGCAAACCGATACTTTGGAAGAGAGTAGCATTAGTAGCATATGCATAGCACTAAAGTGGTTCCCAATTGGTTCGCAGCAATAACTGCATATTAGTGATTTTGTGTTAATCATCTGACGGTACTTTCTGAATATAGTAATTCGAAACAATTATGGATTTTGTCAAAAAGTTTAAATTTTTTGCACAATTTTTATTGCGGCATTTTCAAATGAAATCAAACGTAAAACAAATAGCACCTGCTTTAAAACTGTTTCAAAAGAAACTTACTAGCTTTTGAGAGGGAGAATGGAATAGAATTTCCTTTAGTGGATCGAATTTCTAAGTGATTTTCTCTTAACATACATCATCCCTCGCTGTAAGTATGTGTGATGTAAAAACAAAACTTCTTCTTTTTATCTCGTTATGACATCAGGCTAAAACAAGATTTTCTCGCAGTTGACACACAGAAATTCTTTCAAAGCATTTATACTTCAAAATTAGTCTATGCCGCTTTTTAAGAAAAATGAAAAACACTGCTTTTGTTTATTATTTTGGAACGGATAAATCATCAACATCAACATCATCGTTGCTATCATCCTAATCGTCATCAAAATCATCAACATCACCGATATCATTGACATTATCTCCTTCTCCGACTTCTTCCTT